TGCTTGTGAAAACTATATTAAAATTTTATTAATGCTAGTAAAGTTCATATCATCAAACTCAAGGGGGAAATGTCATGAATTCTTAAGATGTAGAACTAAATTACATCTCAAATAAAAGTTGTACTAGTAAAATAACATTTTGTTACAAATTAATTTTTTTACACATCCAATTGGATTTCTTCACTAGTTTTTAATGGCCTTTTACTTTTTCGATTTGAATATCTACAATGTTGATACTGGCTCAAAATTTAAAATGGCTTTATGTATTTATTACATTTTGTGTTATTTTTAATCTAATTGCACATTTATTTAATTTCTTTTTGCTTATTAATTAATAATTAAGTTTACAGTTGACATAATTATTTATTAATAACATTTAGGTTCATCACATTTGTTAAATTTTATTCATACTATTTCATGCTCACGACCAGGGTCATTTCTGTGTGGAGTTTGCATGTTCTCCCCGTGTCTGCGTGGGTTTCCTCTGGGTACTCCGGTTTCCTCCCACAGTCCAAAGACATGCAGTCAGGCTAATTGGACGTGCTAAATTGTCCCTAGGTGTGAGTGTGTGTGTGAATGTGTATGTCTGTCTGTCTGTCCTGCGATGGACTGGCGACCTGTCCAGAGTGTATCTTGCCTTCCGCCCGATGGTGGCTGGGATAGGCTTCAGCACGCAACCCAGAAGGATGAGTGGTTTAGATGTGTGTGTGTGTGTGTGTGTGTGTGTGTGTGTGTGTGTGTGTGTTTCATGCTCAACTAGGTATTTTTCATAGTGTGTTTATACAGTTGTATGCAAAAGTTTCGGCACTTATTACATGTTTTGTTAATTGATAAGTGAAAATACGTTAACATATCGTCTACAGAGAGCTCACTCTGCACATTTAATGCACAGTTACTGTTTATATGCTGAATGTAATATATGGAGGAAAAAAACTAAAAATGTGGCCTGTGCAAAAGTTATGCAACATTTTATGCTACGTTTTATTTTTTTCCCAATTATCTCTGTAGAGGATGTGTTAACTTTTTTAAAATAAAAAAAAAAAAAATATTTGACCAGGGGTGTTCTCTTGTCACTCACTTGACCAGACCAGCAGTCTGTCCAGAGGACACAGCCTTCTCATACTGTTTCTTGGCTTTCTCCTTTTCTTTAACCTCTCCCACATACGTCTTGCCATCAATCTCCCTGAAATTATGTTACACATAACAATTACACATAAGAACATATAAATGGACTTAATGAATTCATAAATAAACATGAAATATCAGTATAAACGTTCGATGGCTGACATGCTGAAGTTGGTGATGAAGGCTGTCTTTGGTAACTCCACTTCAAAGAACACTTCCTGTGAGACGTTGGCCTTGTTCAGAGCTGTGGAGGTCATGACAGTGTGTGCAAAACGAGACGCCACCTTGCAGTCTATCTTCACACTCTGTACCTCTGTCTGAAAGAGAGATGGAGCATCTTTTTTAAATGCGATCATCTTTTTTCAGAATCACTTGTATTCATGAGGAATTTGTCTTGTTAAAATTGGGGCTTATGTAAGCAGACAATGCAGACTACACACAGTAAAATAAATACAGTGCAGTGTCTCGCTGTCTGTCAGTTTAACGAGACAAAATGAAGAACGAGCACTGATTCAGCCTTTTGAGGCACAACAAGCAACATCATAAAAGTGCCAAAATTTTGTCAGATAAACATTTTACTAAGCTCTTGGTTGTACTGTTGGATTAGGGTGGGGAATATGAAAGTATTATTATCTAGGGAGATTATATCACATCATAATATGTTTTACTGATGTCATTGGTACTGGAAAAACACTGACCAATTACTGACCAACTACATGCCGCTCTCTCATTCAGAGCTGGTTAAAACATGTTCAGGGCTATATCCTCAGAAGCCTAGATCAAGCGACACTTCTGACATTCTTTAAATGTGTTAAATACTGCTGCTTTTTTGTCTGTTTTGTTTTCCGGCTAAAAAGAAAAATATCATTATAGATACTGCAAATTGTGAAAATGTCAAAGCGTTGTGTTGTTATGTTTTTGCTATATTGCCCACCCCTATGTTAGATTTAGCTGCAGTATTTTTTTTTTAATTTCTGCATAATTCAGATACTGAGACATAAACAAAATTGTTCAGTGTGGTTTGATGTGAAATTTACTTACTAACTTACTAACTCATATTTACTTTACAGTGGCGCTGATAGGAACCGGGGGTTGTAATGTCTACAACACAAATATAGCCATTTTATTCAATATCCAAAACCTCCAGTGAATCTACATATGTCTTCTGGGTTTTTATATGTTGAAGATGGGAAAATAATGGAAAATCTGAAAAAAATGTTTTCTTTGGGGACTATTTTAAATTACAACACCCTGCTCATACCTCTCTGCCATTAATGGATTTTAAAAAGTACATTTTAGGCCAAAAATCTTAGTGCAACACCATCCTAAAACAGTGTGTCAATCATCAAACAACATAAATGTGATAATTTCATGTAATAACTTGCTGTGAGGGAGCTTTCAGAGGTGGACGTCTGGTTCCTATCACCACCACTGTAAACGATTTAAGTTTCTCTAAAACATTTCTAAAGCATTTCACATCAAACCACTCTTGACTTTGTTTATATCTCAGTGATTTAAATATATATTTTTTGAATTTATGGAATTCCCAATTAAGGCTTTCCCCTGCAATTGCTTTACACTGTAATTTATGGTACAAGCCTTTAATTTAACCTTTTAATCGAATTTTTCGTGCATTTTGTGTTTTTGAACTTTGACCATATTGATTGCTAATGTAGATGAAGGCCAGGGTTTTGTTTACTATTGACCAATACTTTTGAAGCCTGCTGAGGTGAATAATTAAGAAAAAGCTTCATACAAATGCTTGCTTTTAGGTGCAGTTAAACGCTTCTTACCTCAGCACTGTTCACGCTTCGTTTCTGTGGGAGATAATTGCAAAAAATTAATTCATTTGGTGTTTTAGAACAGTATGTGTGACTCATTGTGCACTATATTATTTTTCCTCCATACCTTCAAAAGCTTGTGGACGGTGCCATCACTATCCTAAAAGAGATTATAGATAGTGCTCCATATTTGATGAAATATAACAAAATTATTGTGGTAATGTTGTTCAACATCAGCAGTAGACACTAAATACACAGTAACATGAGTGTCGTTCAGTTTAGCCCTTAAAGAAGTTTGAATTATGTTATATTACCTGTTGGACCCTTGAGATTATGAATGCACCATAAGACCCCGATGGAATGCACAAGTAAACAGAAATACAAAGCAACAACGCAGTCCTCATTGTGGTCATGATGAATCCAGAGGCCAACACTGATTCTGCGCAGGGGTTTATAGATAAATAAGCATTCCAGTAAATCATTAAACTGTGTTTACTCTGTTCAGCCAGTAAAAAGGAGATTGCAGCATCTGGGTTGACCTCTCTAAAATAACCCTACATCTACCCAAAGCTTATGCAAAGTCATTCACTAGCTGATCCAAGTGTACAGGGCAACATACACACACTATCTAAGCCACCTATCCTCCTGGGTCACAGGGGGATACTGGAGCTTATCCCAGCGGTCATTGGGCAGAAGGCAGGAAACACCCTGGACAGGTCACCAATCCATCACAGGGCAGACAGACATACATATACATGCATCTCCGATTCTTTGGACTGTGGGAGGAAACCCTACACAGATACAGGGAGAACATGCAAACTCCACATAGAAAGGAGTCGCCTGGCTGGGGAATCAAACCCTTCTTGCTGTGAGGTGACCGCTCTACCCACTGTGTCACCAAGCCACTCAGGGCAATACACAACAAAGTTTATTCCAGGGAACAGTAGTGATTCTAGGACTATAGAAATGAGGCAGTCAAGGCAACTTTTAGGGTTCCAAAGTCCAGAAACACCAAAGAATTGTGTATATGTCTACATCAAAAATAACAAAAAACAAGACTAAGGCCTATTCTATTTCTAGCTTTTTAATCAACCACAAATCATAACATTTGACAGGGCCATAGTTAAAACATTTTGAGCATTTAGCGCTGGTGCTATAAAAGTTGCAAATGTTGTAGTACAAATTTTTTTAGCACTGAGATAAAAACATCTCAATAAGTGGTCATTTAGACTGAAAAACAGAAGCAGTGTGTAAAAGGTTTTTTTTAGGTATTTTAATGCTCATTTTGTGAGACGTACAGATAATTCACTTTCTCCACAATACTTCAGATTTCCCACAAGGAGGCGCTTAAGCACTTAAGTAGTGTTTTTCTGCATCTTTGAGTGAGATTAAACCCACACCAGCAGTACATTGCGAGGTCCTTTGTTTACAAACATCTAGATTTGTTCTACACTGTTTGTATTACCTGATGGACTACAATTACCATAAACACAAGAATTTCACCTGTGTCACAAGTTGTATGACAACACTGAGCAGAGGACTGATGGGGAAATGTAGGATATCACATGCATCATATAGCTAGAACAGCTCAAGAATAATTGGCTTTTCCACGAGCATTTCAACTCACCAAAATATTTGAATGAAAATGTACAGACATGCACACAAAGGTCAGTCGCATGAGTGCGATTATAATCTTTTTTCTATTTGCACAGGATTAATTTCTCCTGGCACGCGTGACAATATTATAATGTTGCACATTAACAATACATGCAACATCTGTGTACCTAATGGTGATATATTCACTGTTACAGATGGATTACTGCAGTACAGCTTATGTAAATACACATGTATCAACTTCAGTTTTTTTTTTTCTCCCAGTTGGGGAGGTGAAAACATTTCAATCAGCCAGTTATATGAAAGAAAGTTTTAAAGCAGCACCAAGGGTGGCCATGCAGATTTTAGGGGTAGCTGGTGCCACCCCAGCCACCCCCTAGCTTTGTCACTGCTACGAAACTGTACTGGCTGATTTTGAACAAGTGAATTTTGAAAAGTAATTCTCACTGACAGCAAAAAAAAACAGATATAAAACCAGTATGTTTGGACAACAGGCAACTGTGTTTAATGTGAAGCATGTACAAACCTCCCTAACAACGTTGTCTTCATTTTTGTCAATAGAAATCTTGCTGTGCTGCCGTCAGGTACTTTTTAAACCATAAATGAATGGTGTACTCATATATTTGTGACCAGTAATGGTTAGGAAAAAGGCAGACAGTCTGTGTTTTCACTTGTAGATGTTCTTTCTCAGAACATCTTGAAGAGGTCAGAGACAATGTAATCTCTAAGCTCTCCATCTATGAGCCCAGTGCCATTTTTGTGAATGAACCAGCAAGACACATTTTCTCCGTTCTTTGCATCCTTTCTGAAGTCTCTCTGCCAGCCCCTGGTAACACAAAAAAGCACATTGCACTTAATGAACCTAAATACAAAATAGTTAAAGAAATGATCTTTTTAAAAAATTAAATAAAAACAGTTCATTTAATTTACACCATTTCCCTTTTACGCAAAACATAGACGATCAGCCAAGACATGTTTGGTGTTCAGAATTGGCTTCTTTAGTCTTTTAGCCCAGCATTGTGGGCTGGAAGCCCCAGCATTATGCAAACTGCAAACAAAATTTAGGCATTATGGCTGCTACTATTGTTTTTAGCTGTATGACACACCAGAGTTTTTTTTTTTTTCTAGAATGATTGTTTGGGCACCTTCCAATTTAAGGGGATCACCGCCCAACCTCTCTGCTTGTCAGCAAAAGGGGCAGAACATTCTATATTAAAACCAGAAAGCTGCATCTTTTTGACTGAATATTAAAAGTTGTCTGAACAGACACAGTTAAAAACTCTCTTTTGTCTTTTGTGCCACATTTCTGATGTGGATACAGAGTCTTATTTGCTTTGGACATTTGTCTACAAGTCTTCTCACTTTTCTACTTAGGCTTTTTATTAAAATGCATGTGGAAAAAAATCATTTGAAACCATAAAATACATGCCAGTGTTATTTTGTATTGCATCATAAGTTTACGCTAGTTAGGCTTGCAAAATGTGAACTGCACAATGTCCTTTTTATCTTAACATGCAATATAGCAGTATTGGCATAACAAATTCACTTAGACAACATAAGTTGTTAATTAATGTCTTTGATTTAGCATTCTTATATGCACTTGTGATAGACTAAGAAATGGTTAGCCTTATTATGAACATTAGCATTACTCTGGCTGCCCCATTGATGTGTACGTCCTTGGTACTTGCGTCACTGCTAGTTCTTATTGATAACAGTTGCTGTATGCAATGATAATGGAAACTCAGAGTGTCTAGAGGACAGATCAAAGGGCATTTTGGGAAATCAGCATCTGTGGTGAATTTGTGCCATCACAATGTTTGTGTCGTGTAGTTTTGACAAGTAATAAAGGTTAAAAAGAGAAATTTTAAAGCTTACATATTGACTTTTTCATTATTATAGCAGGGCATGGCAACATTTTACTGGGGTACATGCCTGAGGAAATTGTGCCCCCCTGACATACTTTTGTCCATACAAATAACATTATCATACAGCGTCAGAAACCACTTAGTCAAATCTATTTTACTGCATCCAGGACTTCACTCAAGTTGCAAACCTGTAGTTTAAACAGTTTTTGGGATGTATTTGCAGAAAAGATTTAGGTGTCTGTTGACTGCTAGTGTTTGCTAGCAATGTTGGCTTTGTAGTTCTAGTGCTAAAATAGATAGGTGCCTTAGTGGTTATAAACTTTCATTACTTGTTAGCTACATTAGCCTCTCTGCTCCAGCACAAAACTATAGAAGCAAACTCTTGTCTGAGAAGGAAACTCTTGGCAAATGTCTTGGTGGGTCTAGACTATAAATTAGATTTTTTACTGAAAGTTCCTTTAAAATCACAAAGTTTTTTGCCAAGACATCTGCTGTGAATTTCAGTAGTTTTCAAAGATTTTGCATAATCATGTGAGAACACTATCTTGCTGGTTGAGTGTTTTTCCTTTTTATTTACCTGGTCACTATAAGCTTGTGTCCCTTCACAAACATGGTGGCATCGGGTTTGTCTGGGTCCTTCCCTTGAAAGGGTTCGCTGACCTCAAATTTCACTCCATGGAAAAATTGCCCTGAAGGGGGAAACGTAGTGTTAATTTGAAGCCCTGAAAACTGAAGAATTAAAATCTGAACACAGTTACTCTTTTAATGACTGCTGGTTTCTTTTATCCAGTTCTTTGTTCGGTGTAACTTGCTAATATAATCTGTAAAAGTATGGTATCTCACCCATAAGGCACAGCAACAGCTGAAACAACCTATGACCTCTTGATTTATGGCCAAGTTCTCTGACTGGTGAGTCACTTCAGTGAAGCCAGTAAAAGGCACCTGAAGGGCAATGTTTAAGTTTTTTTATGTTTGTTTTTTTTTTTCTTTTTTTGGTATATATGTTTGGTTTATATTGGGAAACAACCACAACTGCATGCAAAATTATCAATGGGCAAATGAACATTTAAGTTTGCTTGATTTTAGAATGACCGGGTTAGTTTATATATTTGGTTTAAAATTATAAGCTTTGGGAAATACCTCTCAGAGTTATCAATGAGTAAGTTTACATTTGTTTGTTTTTACTCAAACTCAAACTAAAAGCTTAATTGATTTTAATCACCACAAATTAATTGGTAAATTTGAATAAATTTACACTACCCTGGTTTTGCCTTTAATATTACTGGAAAGCATTAATATGGAGTTGCCCCATCACTGTAGCTATAACTGCCTCTACTCATCTGGAAGGGCTTTCCACAAGATTTTGAAATGTCTGATGTTGCATTGATGTTGTATGAGAAGGCCTGGCTGGCAATCAACATTCCAGTTCATCCCAAATGTGTTCAGTGGGGTTGAGGTCAGGGCTCTGTCCAGGACAATGAAGTTCCTCCACAACAAACTTGTCAAACCATGTCTGTGTGGAGCTCAGGGACACAGTCATGCTGGAACAGGAATGCTTCCCCAAACTGTTGCCACAACGTTAAAAGCATGTAATTGTCCAAAATGTCATTGTATGATGTTGCAAGGGTAAAGTTACCCTTCACTGGAACTAAAGGCCTTAAAAACAGCCTCAGACCCATTATCCCTCCTCCACCAAACTACACTGTTTCATGGCTGAGCTGTTATTGCATCTAGATACTTTCATTTCATAATGATAGAACTTACAGTTGACCAGGCAGATCTGACTGGGCAGAAATATCACAAACTGGCTTGTGGCAAAGGTGGGATCCTATGACAAGGCAATGTTTCAAGTCACTCATCAGTACGACCCATTCTACTGCCTGTGCTTGTCTATGGACATGGCTATGTGCTTGGTTTTATACACCTGTTAGCAATGGGTGTGGCTGAAACATCTGAACCTATTAAGAGGGTGTCCACATACTTTATGCCATATGATGTATTTCCAACTAATGCATTTACTGGTCTTACCAATCAAGCCATGGACACTGTGTGAGAGGAAGTGGCTGTCCAGTGTGTAGAAGCCCAAGTAGTTCTGGTGGTAGGGGTGCTTCTCCCACACTTTGTGCAGAATGATTACAAATTTCACCGTGTTCCTCAGGGTCACTGTTAAACTGTGGTCTTTGGCTACTTGCAGCTCCATGCTGGGAAAAGCACAAAACCATGAAAGCGGAGATTGTACAAGGTCAGTAAACATACACTGTGTGTTTTTATAGTTGGCTGGCCAGATGTTCCATATTTTCCTGGTGTTACCTCAGCCAACCTTACAAAGTAGTCCTCATTTCTGTGCTATTCCAGCTCCAATTACATGTGAGCATGGTAATTGAGGACTTTAAAATGCTGACCACCTGACTTAGGTCAGTTGGGAGCTGGTATAGGACAAAGAAATAGACTGGCTTGAGATGACTGGGGACTTGATTAAGAACCTCTAGTCAGAAGCTCAGCCGTATTTGTCCATTTGATAGTATCATGTGGACATGTAGCCACTTACATGGAACTGGATAGCAGAGAAACTCACTTTAGGCGCTTAACTGTAGATGTTTTTGACCAAAGAAGTTCTTCATGCTTGCCCTGCTCAGACACCAGGATCTCTCGTGTGGTCACCATCAATCTGATGTCAAACTTCTCATGAATGATTCCAAAGCGACCAAAATAGGTGTGCCCCTTGCTCCCAGGTTCCACTTTCTTGTCTCCTATGGTCTGCCCATTTACTACAAAACCTGTGGAATTAAAATTTATTTAGGCCTGGAGAAGATAACAGCAGAAACTCAATAAACTGTGAGAACTGTATTGCATCTTATACCTGTATTGAGCCCTTGTTTAAATGGAAATTCTGCTTATTGTTCATAATTTTAACACCATTAAACTGTTTAGATGTAAGCATGGTCATTCTACAGTGGCGGAAAAGACCCAATAAACTGCAAATACAGAAAACACATGCAACTTCAGAAATGCTGATAAGCTAGTCACAACACAACTGATATGTTCCTGGAGAACACTCAGAGAGGATGGAGCCATTCAGACTTTTAAATTTTACGAAGCACAAACATTCACTGATAAAAGTAAGTTAACTTTTATTTGAGCAGATTAGCTACTGTTATTGTATCTTAATGGGAATTAGCTGTAGAGTGTAACTGTAAATGTAAGTTAAACTAGTAAAACCAGAGAACTACCACAGTACAGCTATGTCAGATAGCAAACTAGCCAGCCAGGTTAACCATGAACTTGGGATGTGAGTCTTTGCAGCCTTATCCACTTCTTTCAGTGATTTTCCATCATGGATATTCCATCCCCCTTGAGTCTTCCAGAAAGATTTCCCTTGTGTTGTGGTTCACTTCTGTTATGTTGTGACTGGCTTTGCAGCGTTTCTGAAGTTGCTTGTGATTTCTTTATTTGCAGTGTGTTTGTAAAATGTAGCTCCTATGTAGTAATGTTGATGAAAGTACTTTCTATATTTGCAGCACTTTTGCAAAATGCAGTTCAGGTGTAGTAATTTTGCTGAAAGTGTTTTTGGTGTTAGCATCACGTTTATGAAATGTGGTGTTGATGTCGTCATTTTAATGAAAGTGCCTTCTGAGTTTGCCGACTGTCTACGAATTTGCAGTGTTTGTAAAATGCAGCATCTATGTTGTCATTTTGATGAAAGTGTGCATTTTGCAGCTCATTTTTATTAGCAGTTTGTTGGGTCTTCTCAGCCACTGTACCATTAATTCTTCTAAAGGCTGCCTCACAGAAAGCTGTTTTGTGAAATGGTAAATATGTTGCCTGATGCCTGAGACATTGTTTTCATATAACTTTAAGATAATGTATTGGCCTAAAACGTATTTCTAAAAATACAGTCTTGGTGGAAAGGTACATGTAGGGCATTATGAGGCAAGATAGTTTGCAAGCCAATTTTTTTTTTTTTCATTTACCACCATTTTATCAAGATATAGAAAAACTTGGAAGACATGTAGGTCCACTGGTGGTTTTGGATAGTGAATAAAATGACCATATTTGTGTTGCAGACAATGTGATTCCTGGTTCCTGTCACACTCACTGTAAAGAAATCAGAGTCTATAAGTTGCTCTACAATACACCATCTCACATCAAACCGCTCTGAATGACTTTGTTTACACACATTTACCTGTGAGTGGCTCCCTCACTAGATTGAAGATGGTGCCTGGTTTGTCATCAGTATTGAAGCACAGAGCATCATTCACATCTGGAATCTCAATGATGAAGTGTGGATCTCCATCAACTGCAAAGTCTAAAAAGTGAGACTAAATTTTTATATACAAATTAATCAAACAGTCTTCATAGGTTATAATCTGAAAATTACCTTACCTAAAAGTGTCTGGGCGCTGCCTTTCAATGCAATGGGCGTAAGAGCTATATCATAGTCGAAATCTAGATAGATAGATGTGTAGCTTTTGTCAGTGTGCAGAAAAACAAAGAATTCATATTGTGACTAGACTCCTCATTAGTTATCCATCGATAAAATAAGTCGTTACCCTGTGGAATTACGTCTTGCCGTTGATCTGTGAATGAAACAAGGAGAAGCACTAGCATCACTGTTAGCTTGTCAACTACTTGTCAACCTTTTCTTTATATAAAAACACTGTAGCTAAGGGTTTAAACCAGGGGTCTCAAACTCAAATGACCTGGGGGCCCCTAGCCAGGTGGTCTTCTCCAAAGGGGGTTGGTTAAAAAAATGCAGGGAAAAAAGTGTCCCATTTTTTTGAATTTTAATTACATAAAATTTTTCATCTAACATTTTACCTAATGTTGTAAATCATAATATGAAACATGTCCAAGCATAAATTTTATCTACATAATACACAGCATCGCTGGTCAAATGACATGTTTTGTTGATTTTCTAAATGAAAATGGGTTAACACATTCTTTACAGAGAACAAACTTTTTCAAAATTTTAATGCACAGCGTCTATTTACTTACTTCAACATATAACATATTTTATATTAAATAAAATATTTAATATAAAATGTGTCAAAACTTTTGCACAGGCCAAATGTTATGTTTTTCTTTTTCCAATATGTTAAATTCAACAAATAATCAGTAATGGTGCATTACAATGTGCAGAAGTGTGTTCTCTGTAGAGGATGGGTTAACTTGTTCTTACTTAGAAAATCATCGAAACAAGTAATTTGACTAGGGGAGCCCAAACTTTTGCATACAACTGTATACTATCATGTAAGTGCATCTTAGTCAATTTTTATTAGTACATTAGTTCTGTCACCACCACCACTACTACTGCTACTAGTAATAATAATAATAATATTATTAATGATAATAACAGTAGTAGTCTAAATTCATAGTGTTTAATAAATATTTTAGTGCTTAATTAAATCAAGCAAATTGATACTTAATAGTATAATTATATGGGACTCATTGTGATAGCATTAGCATTCTTGCTGAACATGAGTGAAGTTATTGCGAGTGAAGTGTTGTCAATATGAGCAGTTAATTCTGTGTTCTCAGTGGATTCATTTAATTCTGACACGCTGTATCTACAGCTTTGAATGAAAGAATCTGCAAAGGCAGACTGAACTAACTATCGGCCTAAACTAAGTTATAGTGTAATTAAAACCATGCTCCATAGGCAGCGTTCATAGCTTTGGTTTGACTTGTTTCTTCTAGGGTGCAGTGCTGTGTTTTTGTTTTTAACAATGTCAGCTTCAGATTAAGCTGACTTTGTATAACTAATGTTTAAAAATCAGCTATATGTCTAGTAGTTGAAGCAAATCTACCCAGCCTTCTAACAGCAGCCACTGGTTTTCATAGATCTGTTTCTCATTTGGTTATCACTGGCTAATCCAAATATTTCTCCAATGACATGCTCATTTATTTTCTTTTTTCTATATTCACTACTGTGTATTGTTTGTCAAATCTTATTAATTTTGTTGTGTTATTGTTTTGCTATCTGGTGATGACTAGAGGAGGATGGTTTCCCCTTTTGAGTCTTGGTTTCTCTCAAGGTTTCATCCTCTTGCTCTGAGGGAGTTTTTACTTGCCACTGTCACCCTTGGCTTGGGGCTTGGACACTGATTTTCTGTAAAGCTGCTTTGTGACAACACCTGTTGAAAAAGTAAATTGAAAATGTGTGACCGGCCATATGAAGTTGTCTTAGTAGTTTGAGACCTCTGGCTTAAGCTCAGAGACATGTGTACACAGTGTTTACACATCATATTTTAGTGTTTACACATCTGTATTTTATACTCTACATCTATTCTGTATTGTATAAGTGCACTTCTTCCATACCCTCAGACAGCTTGTCAGCAATGAGTGCATCCTCTGGATTTTCATCGTTTTGTGGCTTAGTGACCACCATGGAGGTGAGTGGGGTGACAAAGTTGTACCTCAGTGAGAGGTCCAAGGCTTCAGCTGTGATGTTCTCACTTTCTTCAGGTCTACACTTGTCTCTATTAGAAGAGGCAGGTCATTATTAGCAGTTATTCCAAATTTAACACAAAAACTTTCTATACACTAAATAGTCAGAAATAACGAACAGCTGCCTGCACTGGCCATTGTGGCAAAAGATGAGTCTTTCAGAGCAAGTTTCATCTGAGGGATTTTCACAATAGCCTCCCTCTATGTGCCATGCCAGAATAAAGGGTTATGATTGGCCATTTGGCATGTCAGTCAAATGGCCTCTTCCTGTCAAGGTAGATGGTTCTTGGCCACACTATGTGTGTAGTCTGGCTTGTGGACTGCAAAATAACAGAGACTTTAAGCAATGACGGCAACATTAGACAAAAACTGGCTACTCATTTATTATGCCTTATCAAGGCAGTAACTGCTAATTAACTGCTAATTACTACTTTATTTTGCAATCAAACATTTCTTCTTGTATTATACCTTATATATCAGTCTTTTGCACAACATAGCTGGTAAATTATCAAGCCAAGAGCTAGTAATTTATCAAGCCAATGACTACTAACTAACTGTTTGACTATTACTACTTCATTAAGCAGTAACAACTGTGAACAGAGCATTGTCCAGAAGTCATTTTTTCATGTATTGCACATCGTGATTTTGTGTACAACCTAAGCTTTGTGTCTACAATGTGCTTAATTTTTTTCATTCCTATCAATAACTCAAATTACCAGTTAGCACTAAATAAATGCAAATTGACCAAACTGTCTAGTTAACATGTATTAAGAAGTGTAAAAAAGACATTTTTTGTGCATAACCCTTATTTGAGCATGGAATCTACATGAATTATGCATATTAACATTGCAATCTAACAGGGTAGAGGATGACATTTTGCAAATTGCAACAGACAGGGCTACAGTTTGTTATTGGTGTGAAGTCCACCTATGTAGTGGATGTATAAGGTAAACTGGCCAGTGAGTGGAAGTACAAGATAGAGCTTTCTGCTGCAGGGGACAGTGAATGAATTGTAGTATTCTATCATGAAAGCACTGTCATAATCACATTGAAACTTTCTGTTTCATATGATATGGCACGCTTTGTGCTGGGAGGCTGACCGCTTGTCTAGGAGCTGTTGAATGGTCAAATATGCCCAGAGACGTTCAGTGAAGTCCCCAAAGATGTATTCTTGCTCAGGAAACATGAGGGCCCACTCCTCAACACTGACCTGGTCCTGGACAAGAAACTGCTCCTCTAGCTAAATTGAAAAAGAAATAAAATCCACTGAGAATCTTAATGTGGCTGAATTTTGTAGGATGCAACATGATTGCATGTCTTGGACAATTGTTTGTAATATAATATGAATTTTTCTCACCCCTTGGGCTGACACCTCAATTAGGAAGTTGTCCACTGCAAGGTCATTCAGTTGGCCAGCGACCACAATCTCGTTGCCATCAAAAAGCTGCCTGAAGTGGCTGTTTGTCAAGGAATTCACCAGACTGTCTGGATAATGCAGATTCACTTCTAATAGGAGTGGACTAGCCACCTCTTCATAGAAACCCTTTGGGGAAAACAAAAGAGTTAGCTATTTGCTATGGAGTGCCCTTTCAATTAATTTATTGAAACTGACACAGACACATAACGATATAATTTTGATCAATTTTATTTTTTTTCTTTATGCACAAAGCTTAAAGTACCTGCAGCTGAAGTGCAGCATCTGATGCCTCATAGATCCTGCGAGCCAATCCATCATTCTGCTTGGCCATCACATCCAGGAATGCGTAGTCTACATCATAGCCAAAGCCCAAGCAGAACAGGCTCATGTTTCCTCCAATGGCATTTCGGACATTCTCTTGGATCTGGGGTAGATGTTGTTCCCCTGAAATAATTTAAACACACTATTGAAGTGGCACTGTGCAACATGACCAATAATTTGATATTTTAGCTCAAATTAACTTATCAATATTAAGTTGATGGCGTAATGGTGTGTGCATGTTCTGCATATTTAACTTGCTAAGATGTAAGTAAAAGTCATTCGGACTGGTTTGATGTGAGGTGCTCCATTCTGGAGAAACTTATCGACTCAGAATTGCTCACAGTGATGCTGATAGGAACCACATGTATGAAGAGCTTAATGCCTTTGTTTTTTAAAATCCATTCATGGTAGAGAGGTACATGTATAGCTTTGTAAGGCAAAATAGTCCCCAAGGAAAACATCTTTTTCAGATTAAGATGACTACTGTAAAGAAATCCATGAGTTGAAAAAATTTCTTATCCATGTTATGAAGTAACCTAAAGAAGTTTGACTCCACTAACCATGCAGGGTAAAAGACCTTATATTATTATATTTTCTTTTGCCCCAGACGTACCCGATGTAGGATCTCCATCCGTCAGAAGAATGATCATGGATGCGCTGTTGTCCGGGAGGGAGCTGTTTTTCTTGGCTGCAGTCAGCATGTCCACGGCATGCAAAACAGCTCCATTGATATCCGTCACTAACAGAGGTAAAAACATTCGTTAATGTTGCTTAACAGAGTAAAAGATTTTACCTTAAGGCTGAGCTCTGAGATTTTACTGGTTCTTAGTTCTATCAGTTTTAGCATTTTTACACTCACCAGCAGCCACCTTATTAGAATCGCCTTTCTTGTAGGTCCAGCTTGCTAGTGAACTTGTTAGAGACTGTGTTAGCTATTCTTTAGCCTTTCATCAGTGGTCAGTTTCTTACCACATAGCTGCTCTTGGATTGCTATTTTTGGGTGGTGGACCCCTGAGAATAGTCCACTTTCCAAATAATATCTGGACACCAGTGGTCCTGTAGTCAGGAAGTGACCAATGATGAATGAGGAACACATTCAAATGTATCTTTGTGAAACAATGAAAAAAAAAAACTAATGTGAAATGAACTGTAGAAAATAAAATAAAAACAAAATAACAAAAACTAACAAAACTGAAAGGAATCCTGGGAGGCGCCATCCCAGTCACTAGAAGATTTAGAAACAGACTGCTCAAGACTGCACAAAGTACTTCTTACTTTCCCATCACAGCTAATAACTGTAAAATCCGACCTTTGATAAGATGCTTGACCTATTAATGCAGGATTTACGCTGTATATTTACATCAGTACTTAACAGCGCACAAGTATGAAACAGATATTTCTGAAAAAGTGGCCAGTGAGTAGAAGTATTATACAGGTGTTTCTAGTAAAATGGCCAGTGGGTAAAACTACAAGTGTTTTAATAAAGTGTCCAGTGAGTGAAAGTACAAGACAGGTGTTTCTAATAAAGTGGTCAGTGAGTAAAAGTACAAGACAGGTGTTTCTAATAAAGTGTCCAGTGAGTGAAAGTACAAGGCAGGTGTTTCTAATAAAGTAGTCAGTGAGTAAAAGTACAAGTGTTTCTAATAAAGTGGCCAATGAGTGAAAATACGAGACAGGTGTTTCTAATAAAGTGGCTAGTGGGTAAAAGTACAAAACAAGTGTTTTAATAAAGTATCCAGTGAGTAAAAGTGCAAGAGAGGTGTTTCTAACAAAGTGGTCAGTGAGTAAATGTACAAGACAGGTGTTTCTAATAAAGTGGCCAATAGATAAAAGTACAAAACAAGTGTTTCTAATAAAGTGGTCAGTGAGTAAAAGTACAAAACAAGTGTTTCTAATAAAGTGGCTAATGAGTGAAAGTACGAGACAGGTGTTTCTAATAAAGTGGCCAGTGAGTGGAAATATAAGTTTTTGTTCAGATAGCAATAACATACATCTACCATGTATAAATATATTTATTTGAAAAAGTTCTATTGTACTTAAACATGTAATATAAAAACTTGTACTTATATATGTAATATAAAAAGACTGTTACTGTTTCCAAGTAAGTTTGGATCATTTCTTTCGGTCCGTTCATCATGAGATTTTAACACAGGGTGAAAGATTTTTGTGCGACGATGATGATAAACTGTATTTACACAAAAGGCTCAGGGATAGGTCTCTGCATCAAAATAAATTCAGGAATGTTTTTATTCTAGTTTTTGAGGTGCTTTGATTAAATAATTTGTAATCAGTAAAAGTATAAAGAATTAAATAAATAAATGTAAATTTAAGTTTCATGAGTTGCTTTTTAACTTTTAACCTAATAATTACTGTTTTTCCATGTAGATCTCTGAGAGATGCAAAATACTTCTAAGACCTTTTGTTCAGACTTAATAGAGTATACCTTTGATACAGTAACATGGCTTGGACATGAGTTCAATTCTAATATCTATCATCCTGTTACTTACTGTGCCTTGCTGTAATAGTTTTGACAAATTCTTTAGCTTCTTTTACATTGTCCTGGGATGCTTTGCTCAGTGATGGTCTCCATAATTCAATTTTGTCATCAAATGTGACCAGCCCAAAGTGGTCTTCTTCATATAAGTCACCTAGAATGGTCACTAGAGCTTCTAGAGTCTGCAAAGAAGAAAAAACAAATGTTGAGTTGTCCACAATTCATAATAAAAATCATGATGTTACCTCCAGTACATCTAAAGACCTGTTCCATCTTTTTTCCATGCATGGATCCACTCCTGTCAATCACAAACACTACGTTCTTTGGCAGTTGTGGCAAATCAGCTGGAGCAAAGAAATGTACAAAGTACCCGTTCACTATCTGAAACACAGAATTTGGTAGAAAAGTAGTCAAGAAAATTGCTCTTAACAGTTTTAACATAAATCTGTGCTTAAAAGCAGCTCTTTTCAAAATGGACCTGAATGTCACCGATATCCTTTGCACGGTTGACGTCATACGTGATGATGAAATCTCCATCTATCAGTGTACTGTCACAGTCTGGGCACTTCCTCTGCTGATCCAGAGTTGGAGAAAAGGACAGGTGGGCCTGAAAAAAGAGGATCATAGGAGATCAGGTTGCAGTGTGCAGTGTTGTTGAGTTTTGCTTACTATGTGGCTCAGATGATCTCAAGGTCAATACTGAATACCTCTAATGCACTATATCAAGTATATTACCACAGAATCCAGTGATTCATTATTGTCTACTCATTTGCATACATTTCTTTGGTGAAGTAACAACTCAAGTACAAGTCAAAGTACTTTTACAAAAAGCAACTTCAGTATAAGTACAAAAGTAGCAGGTCAAAAAAACGACCCAAGTACTTATAGAGTTAGATCAGAACCTCTTAGTACATGCAGCGTCTATCAGCATGGAAATTGAAGATTGTTGGACTCTATTATTCTCTTTTTGATGCAATCTCAATGAAAAGCAAACCTCAAACATAGATGTGACCAGTCGTAAAGCAGTAAAGATACTGTCACCAACATAACACAATGAAATTAAATCCAAAAAAGAAATTTAAATGCAACAATGCAGATCACTTTCCTCACAAATATACCTAAATAGAAGTAAAAGCATTGTAATTTGCAAATACCAATCCAAAAAATATTGACTTGAATACAACTGAGTAAATGTAACTAGTCACCCACTTCTGGCTGCATGTTACGAGATAAACACCAAGTGTTACAAGATGCAACTGTGTGCAAAACTTTGCGTTTAACATATTGGAAAAAAAACTAAAATATAAAATATAACACAATTGTTGCACAGGCCACATTTCATGTTTTTCATCTTTTTCCAGTATGTTAAATTCAGCAAATAAACAGTATGCATTAAAAATGTAGGAGTGTTCTCTGTAGAGGATGTGTACTTATTTTGATCTAGGAAATCAACAAAATGTAATTTGACCAGGGGTGGCCAAACTTTTGCACGGGACTGAATATTAAAGATGTGTTCTAACCTAAAACTAGCATTAAATATGTTACTTCCCATGTAATGCAATGTTCTGGAGCACTGCATTCTTCAGACCAACTGATTTGACAAAAATGTCTGTTGTATCCTTTTTGTGTTTTCATCCAACAATAATCTTTAACTACAAAATCCAGCATACATTATACAACAAAAAACAATGGGAATGCAACCATTACATTAGACAACCACTGGGAATCCCTGCACAGCAGTAAAGTTATCCTAACTGCTATTGTAGCGTTCTGGATTAGCCAGCTAGCAAAACATTTCAAATAGACCGCACTTAATTATTTGCCCCAAAGTAATTGTGTTTTTTCAAAAGTTTCTCCTACCTACAAAATACATCAGAAGGGATTTTCCTAGTCATTAAGCCAGAAAATGTTGTCCTAGGTACTACTGAGGCACCACTGTAGGCAACTTGGCATGTTTACAACAGATGTAGTAATGGTTACATTTTTCATGTTGGCTAGGGTGTCCCTTTAAACCATTCATGCATGGCCTCATATTCAAAGTAAGGGCCTACCATTTTGTCAGTGACTGTTTTCTCCACCAAGGGGAGCAGTTCATTGGTGAGGAATGTGGCATTAGTGTCCAGGAATGCAATGCCTTGTGGCTCATAGACATCAGCAACGATCTGTAGTGAGAATTTATAAATGAAATGAACCAATCGATAGATAGAATGAATGAATGAAACCGAGAAGAAGCAGTTATTAAACTACTGCACCTCAAAGTGTTGGACCAGTTGTTTGGGTTTGACTCTAATCATGATCTCATATTTGCCAAAGTGACGCTGAAGGAGCTCCTCATAAGTAAGTGTGAATGTGACGTTGCTGTTGGCGGCGATGTTCACAGACACAGAGAACTTCTCCATCTTTCTGCCTGAGGCCCTGAAAAGATCAAAATCAATTTTACAGTGAAATATGCTATATTTCTAGGTTTGTCCTTTTGTTTTTGTGCCTCACTCACTTGACCAGGCCAGCGGTCTGCCCAGAGGACACAGCCTTTTCATACTGTTTCTTTGCCTTCTCCTTTTCTTTTACTTCTCCCAAATATGTCTGACCATCAATTTCCCTAAAATCAGAGACAATGGACGGGGCATTAGGGCAGACGTACATGTAGCATGGCTGAAAATGCCTTTCTTTAGCCATAATTCACCATAAAGTGTACCTGTAAGTATAAGACATGCCATATACATTACTGTGTGAATGTCATTTGTATAGTTTCCAATCAAAATGGACATTAAGTAAAAGTTATTCATTTTTCTGGAGATATTTTTAGGGAGATTAGATAAAAGATAATCTGCTTGCATAAGTAAGGAGAAAGTCAAAAGGAAATAAGGGAAAAAGCAGGCATTTATCTTTTATCTTAAAAAACTTTTATCTTTGAGAGAAGAGTAAGTCAACTGTTGCTACAGATCTGAAAAAATCCACAGGTGTTTCTGTCCATCCCTCCACTGTGACAAGACAACTCAACACTGTGAGTGTGAAAGGATGTGTAGCTGATTTGATGTGTAGCTGAAATTGATATTGTATTTAGTTCAGGCTTCTATTTAATTTTCTGTGAAATGACAGACTGGAAAATTAAATGCAGGGTGGTCCCTAACTAGGACTGTAATTAGGAAAATGAACTGTGATTCATTATGAGTCATTGTTTAATTTATTAGGAAATCATTTGTCACTTAGTATGGATAGCCAGTATAAACTGTGCATGACTGACATGCTGAAGTTGGTAATGAAGGCCGTCTTTGGTAACTCCACTTCAAAGAACACTTCCTGTGAGACGTTGGCCTTGTTCAGAGCTGTGGAGGTCATGACAGTGTGGGCGAAACGAGACGCCACCTTGCAGTCTATCTTCACACTCTGTACCTCTATCTGAAAGAGAGAGTAGGAAATACGGTATGTAAGTCATTTAGTAGCAAGTAGCAAATGTCATTAGCAGCATTAAATATTCTGGTAAATCAGTGTATATGCTTTATTTATTGTTTTTTTTTTTTTTGCTGCTCCACCAATCTGACAGTAGAATCATGTGCTATGATTGGCTAGCCAAAGCTTGTGCTCTGACTCTGGCCAGTTGAATAATGCTCTCTGGGTTTTTGAGTAGATTAGTAGAAGTACATTTTCTTACCTTGCTGCTGCTTATGTTTTGTGTCTGTGAAAAAAATCAAGCAGTCAAAGTATTAATATCAGGTTACTTAGAAAGGAATATTTTTGTGTTTATGTTTTAAAAGCGGCCCTGCAATGGACTGGCGACCTGTCCAGGGTATATCCTGCCTTCCGCCCGATGACGGTTGGGATAGGCTCCAGCACCCCACCGCGACCCAGAAGGATAAGTGGTTTAAATGATGTGTGTGTGTGTGTTTTAAAAGGGGAATTCGACTAATTTTTCAAAATTTCTGCATAATTACATTGTAAAGTTGTAAATAATGTCTTTCGGGTTGATGTCAAATACTTCATTCTAGAAAAACTTACTGGGTCAGAATTGTTCACAGTGGTGGTGATAGGAACCAGATGTCCACCTCTAAAAGCTCCCTCACAGAAAGTTATTATAATGTAAAAAGGTTACAAATATTGTCTGATGTCTGAGATATTGTTTTATGGAAGTTTTTCAGTAAAGTTTTGGCCTATAATGTACTGTTCAAAACATATTCATGGCAGAAAGACTTTTTTTCAGAATTACACCTATTTTGCCATCATAACTTTACGTTTGAAAATTCAGAAGACACGTGTAGGTTCACTGATAGTTTTGTGTTGGAAGTAAAATGTACATTTGTGTTGCAGACATTATGACCCCTGGTTCCTGTCACCACCACTGTAAAGAAAACTGAGTTTCTCTACAGTGAGGCATTTCACATCAAAATTCTTTGAATAACTTTGTGTACACCTCAAGGACTAAATTATACAGCAATTTTAAATAGGTAGAATGTCCTTGTAAGGTTGAAATTCATTTTCAGCACATCATTTAAATGAATGGTTTTATTTTAATAAACATTTTATTGTTTGCTCTAGGCTCCACTCAAGTGCGTAGCTGAGAGTTGTTGGAGCTTTAAGCATTTCACTCTAGAGAAGAATAACTATTAGTGGAATTAGTACAGAAGCTGTTTTGTTCAGGGAATCACTGACTCATGATAATATTTATGCACATAACCACATCTAACAGAATTAGCTGTTTGGTTTGGCTAAATATATCCTACATTTACTGGACAGGTAGACTAGAAATATATCCTATATTTACTGGACAGGTAAACTAGAAAGTTTACAAAAGGTCAAAATAGATAAAAAAAACAGTAGTAAAGTTAAAATGTCATAGTGAAATCGAAAAAAAAGGGAAACAGGAGCGGATTGACCAAGCTTAGTAGAACACCAAAGTCCCCTAAGGTTCGAGACATACAAAAGTGAAAGTTGCTTTATATCTAAATGAAAAGTGATGCACTCAACTCATCAGTGTTTCAACAAAATGCAACATTTTTGGCATACTCATGCTTTGAACCACATTTGTAGGACACTGACGGTCCTGCAGACAGGGGTAGACAAAATACTGTTCACTGTACACTGTTCTAAATATATTCAGCAATGTATGCCATTACAATACATAAAAAGTAACATTCAGAATACATTTAGAACATGTTTACAATAAATCTTGGAAAGGCACGTTGGAAACCTTTTCTTGTATTAATTCACACTGCTATTTGTTGTTACTCATTGCCAGTTTTCTTCATGTAATTATTCTGTTTCTTGAAATACGTTTCAGGAAAATTTAACTTGTCATTTAAATAAATTTCCAAAAATTCTTAAACTTTTTTTTCTCTTTCATCACCTGCTTCAGTCCACTGCTGCTCCCACAATCCCCTGAGCAGGAGTCCTGTACAACACAGATGCTAAACTTATCACTCACAAACATGTCCACTACTGAGATTGTTGGTTTGATCATCTCTCAAAGGACCTCAGTAACACTGAGATTAATAATTGATCATCACATTGATTTATCAGTTTACTCAGGCTTTAGCAAAGCTCAGTAACACTGAGATGAAAAACTGAACATCACATTGATTTATCAGTCTACTCAGGCTGTAGCAGAGCTCAGTAACACAGAGATGAAAAACTGAACATCACACTGATTTATCAGTCTACTCAGGCTTTAGCAGAGCTCAGTAACGCTGGGATTAATAACTGATCTTCACAGTGATTTATCAGTCTACTCAGGCTTTAACAGGAACTTCTGTTTTTAAAGAAGCTGTTAATTGAAGCCCTCTTTAGAGTTTGTCTAACTAGCATGATTTCTACATGCCATGCATTGATTCTAAAAGAGTTAATAAACAAACATTGATGATGTTTCTTTAGAAGATTGTATTTATTTTCAAGTTTAGTGGGTAAGTATTCTAAAAGTATTCTTCTAAAAATTTATTGTGGCCTTTTGCTTTCATGGTGCTACATTAAGTCTTGTTTCGAGGCGAACTGAAACTTTCCACTTTGATATTACTTTTGTTGTTTTGCTGTTCAATGCTTTATCCATAGTCTGTCAGTGTAGTCTGTCATAAGTGTCTTCCAGGGCTAGCATTACTGCTATTATTGTTATTGCTGGCATCAGTGGTGCATTTTGCAGTAGTAAAGCAAAAATGTCAAGGTGAAGTAGAAAAAAGCATAACACAACATAAGGTCCATAAGGTCTATTTGACAGAGCCAATTGACCGAGATAAGTAGAACCGTGCTGAACACCACAATCCTTTCAGGTTCTAGATACACAAAAGTGAGAGTTGCTTTATGTCTAAATGAAAAGTGATGCACTCCACTCACCAGTATTCCAACAAAATACAACATTTTTGGCAAACTCATGCCTTGAGCCAAGTGAGACTCTTTGTGCTGGACACTGACTGTCCTGCAGTGTTTTTTTCCAACTAGGGCTAAACTGAGTTAGTGTTTTCACCACTAAATATTTTATGAAAGGACCCATATCATTGACAACTGAATTTTCTCAACTTTTTTTCAAGTTGTTTCAAGTTATGTAACCATAACTTATAAGTAAACATTGTTAAAGTTTTAAAACATGCCATTCTAAAAGTTGCCAGTCCATACCGTCTATAAATGGAAACTAAGCTGAAAAAACAGCTACACTGCTTTTGTGATGTCACACAAAATAACACACGTATGTCCACCTTTTTTTGGCCTACAGCAGTGTAGCCCTGCCCACTGATGCTGAAGTTATTAGGCGTGTTTCAGCCCTGTGTGCTTTTTGAATGCGGCACAACAGGGAGGCCAATCAGAACAAAGCTCATCAACGTATATTTGTCTTAAAGGCGCAGTAACAAAAGTCTGTTTAATTACCTAAAACCAAACAAATGTTATTAGTGCACCCCATAGTAATAAAAAAGTAATAATAATAAAATACAAAAATAATGCATGATACAAGTCCTTTAACTAAGAATAATTTAGAGTTTTTCAAGCTATAAAAATTGAAATAACTGAACAATAGCAAACCATGAATAGCCTTTCAAAAATCTCCAAAATACTGTATTAGAAAAAGATAAATATTTAAATAGGGTTTTGAATTGGACCTTATAAAAAAAGTTAAAAACTAAATTTAAAATGTGCTGTAACTTTTCTCATTTGCTGTTTTTTCCCCCAGTATATTAAATAATATAAATATTCAGCAAATAAACAGTAATCATGCTTTAAAATGTGCAGAAGCGTGCTCTCTGTAAAGGATATGTACTTATTTTCACTCAGAAAATCAACAAAGTGAGTCATCTGACTATGGGCACCCAAACCTTTGCAAACCAAATGTATGGTTGTAGGAAAGATATTAAGTACAGAACTTTTACATTATGTGGAGCTTCCTTAAACTTCACTCTCACACATCTCATTGACAAAGATAGTTCTTTAAGGAACCATCCTTTGGAAACCAAAAGTGGTTCTTCTACAACATGGCTGGTGAAGACCATAGGAGCATTTATAACCATCTGAGCAAGGCGTACTAGATTGAGTCTTGGTAATAAACCCTCCAGGAGGTTAAATCTTCGCAATTTAGATATTCCACCATGTCCATGCAGTCTTACCGGCTCGTCTGGTTGATCATGCTGCCGATGATGATGGTGGTGAAGGAAACCTGGAGGTCCATTTCGCTGAGCTGTAACACACACGTAGACACACACACTGAGCAACAGCCCAGTCCAAACTCCAGACATGATGACTCCTGAGATCAGGTCTGACTTCAGTGCTTGCTGCTGCAGCCCTTAAATGAGAGTGTGTGAGTGTGGGTGAGTGAGTGAAAGCAGGAGGGTGAAAGAGAGCAATGAATGAGTCAGTGTGTTTCTTACAGGACTGTTGCCAGTGGAACTTGTGTACTCATGGCCCTGTATCTCAAGTGAGTATGGTTCCCTAAGCCACTCATTCCTTCGAGCAGTAGTTTGAATGTGGTAACATGGTTAACAGTGAGTTGAAGCTATTATGTGAGTGGTGTAATACTATGTTCGCAGCTTTGCATTTTCCTCACTGAATGGTCTCCTTAAACCATAAATGGGATAATATTACATGGAACTGAAGAGCCATAATGTATTTACTGCTGTAACACAGAATTAGCCCTTAGAAGTTGCAGTTATTGGCAACAACATATTGTAGTTTTATTTTAATTAGTCCTAGCTCATTAAAGCAACCAGAGAAATTTGGTTGCAAATGTTGATTCTAAACTTTCTAAACTCATATGCAGAAGTTTGGGCCTTTGCATATGACTGTTTGTAAGTTTGGACCATGCCTTCAAGATACAGTGGCAGTATGAGGGAAGGCTGATTAAGGGAGGGGAGAGAACTCTGAAATCCTGGGGTGGAGTTGTCTGCGGCTACTGCCTGGAGCTAGAAGGCTGGACTCCACCCTTAACTGTTGTAGGACTGATAGGACTGAGGAATAAGGAGGAGATTAGGTGGTGATGGGGATTGCAAAAGCTTCATCACAGTAAACAGAAGGTAGGGATGGAATTTATAGGGCGTTGGATTGGAAGGAAGAGGGCTTTCAGGCGTGGTCCTCCTCCCATATTTCAGTTTTTCCAAAACTTTTGTTAATTTATGTTGTGTAGTAAAACAACAGTAATAATTCTAGACTTATGAGGGTCAATATGTTCCCAATCCAATGTACAAACAGACCTCAGCAGAATGTAATTTTAACTGTGAGAGCATGACTGTTTTGACATGGGGTGTAACAGACTTTCACATACTATAAGAGTCACCTATATCCTATCATTTTCTCAAATTTACTTCAGGTCCACTTGACATTTGTGTACTTTTACTCACCAGTCCTATTTCATTTAACATAACCAGTTTCCCATCTCTCTTTATGCTTTATAATTAAACAGACTATTTCTGTTACAGAGTCTTTAAAGTTGATACTTGTAAATGTGGCACTGGCTAAATAGCTTTAAGCTAAGTGGATGGATATATGAAGGTATGCGCTGGGTTTTTTGTGACATCACAAAAACAGGTAATTCATACAGATGATCTGTATGATCTGTAAAAAGAGGCAGTGGTTTTTTTAGCTTTCTGTATATGGAGTGTGTGGACTGAAGGGTAAATGGTATGTTTTGAAACTTTTTTGTTTACATATTACATCAAACACTTATTGCAAAAAAAGTTATTTTTTCCATGATTTGGGCTCTTTAACTAGACATGCCTATGACCTGCTGTAACACAGAGGCTGTTTTGTTCTGTTTGCACTGATTCGCAAGTATGTATACACATCACACAGAACCACATTCAACAGAATTAGTGTTTTGGTTTTGGTTGGATAGCTTCAAATTCACTCATTTATCAAAAATGCTTAATTTCCTGGTAGAGTTTCTGGATGAATGCAGAGAGAACACTTCCAAGAAGGAGAGGCTGAAAATAAACGGGTCTGTATGTTTGCCTTGTACAGCGTTGGTTTTCAGACTTGATCTAAGCCTGGCTGGCATCACCCAAGGTGTGTGTGTGTGTGTGTGTGTGTGTGTGTGTGTGTGTGTGTGTGGGTGTGGGTGTGTGTGTGTGTGTGTGTGTGTGTGTTTATGTTTGCGTTTGCACACCCCTCCCGCTTTAACAGAACTGAAGTCACACATGATGTAATCTTTTAGAAGCAAAGCATTAATAGATGGTAGAAATGGGCTAGTTGTAGAGCTGCTGAACCATACTACCTTTCCTATATCTAAACCTCAATGTGTGAGGGTGGCTCCATTTCCCCATGCATTCATGGGATAATTTGGCAATATATTCACTAATTAAAGCGATAGTTTGAGGAAAAATCCACTTTATGCTGTTTTCACCGACATAGTTTTGGCTGTTGGTGGGTGTTTGGTGTTCTATGTTTACTTCTTTAGTGGAGCTATGATGCTAGTATAGCTAACAAGAAAGCTTATACACACTTGCTTATGTAGTTATTGACAGTATATGCCATCCGTTTATGAATAGAAATGGATAAAAATACAGTCATGGCTGTTTTTAGGGATGAGACATAGGCTGCTTGTGTTCTTTTTATGGAGAACACCCCAGATAGCTAAGTGGTTCTCCCCTCATAAGCCACAGATTGCTGTAACCAATCTATCAGCAACAACATTTTCAGCTAAATCATTTTAAATTAGGCCAAATGATTTTTTATCAGTTGTTTTAAATGAAAATTTAAAAATTGTCTGAGGAGATAAAAAACTAGTTAGACTAATAATCTGGGTGGTCCGAGGGTGGACCAGCAATGGCATACAGTCAGTGGGGTGCCAACCTTATCGTACCAGTGGACCGATATATACTTGCCATCTGGGGTCGGTGTCAGAAACCACACAAACATCAGTCAGTTATAGAGCTGTTTCTGGTTTCAGAACAATTTTAACCAACTACACTTTCATAAAGATTTCAGAATGTTTCAGGGACCAAATGGAGCACTTCACAAATAAATATATATATATATATATATATATATATATATACACACACACACACACACACACACAAAAGTATGTGGACACCTGACCATCATACCTATATGAACTCGTTAGACATCTCATTCTACTCTTCTAGGAAGGCTCTCCACAAGATTTTGGAGTGTGTCTGTGGGAATTTGTGCCGATTTAGTCAACCTTCCTCAAACTGTTGTCACAAAATTGGAAGCATATATTATCTAAAATGTCTTTGCATGCTGTAGTTTTGACATTACCCTCACGGGAACTTAGGAGCCGAGCTCAAACCCTGACAAAGAGCTCCAGACCATTATTCCTCCATCACCAAACTTTACGGTTGGCACTAGGCATTCTGGTAGGTCGCGTTCTCCTGGCATCCGCTAAACCCAGATTCATCCACCTGACTGCCAGATGGTGAAGCATGATCCGTCACTCCAGAGAATACGTTTCCACTGAGTTCAATGGCGGTGTACTCTATGCCACTCAAGCCAATGCTTGTCATTGCGCATAGTGATCTTTTTATGAAGCCCCTGACGCACAGTCCTTGCATTGATGTTTCAGAGGCAGTCTCTGTGAGTTTGCGATATCTACCACTTTGTGGCTGAGATTTTGCTGCTCCTAGATGCTTCCATTTCACATTAATACAGTTCACTGGGGCAGATCTAGCAGGGCAGAAATATCTTGAACTAACTTGTGGCAAAGGTGACACCCTATGACTGTGGTCATTGAGCTCTTCAATACAACCCATTCTATTGCCAGTGTTTGGCTATGGAGATTGTGTGGCTATGTATGTGCTTGATTTTATACATCTGTTAGCAATGGGTGTTGCTGAAACACCTTAACTTAATAATTAGGATGGGTGTCCACATACTTTTGACCACAAATGTATGTATATTTATACACCGATCAGGCATAACATTATGACAACTTCCTCGATTCTATGAGCTAGGAGCAGCGCTCATTGTCCATTTTATCAGCTCCACTGACTATATAGGTGCTCGTTGTAGTTCTACAATTACAGACTGTAGTCCATCTGTTTCTCTGCATACTTTGTTAGCCCCCTTTTACCCTGTTCTTCAGTGGTCTGCATCCCCATGGACCCTTACAGAGCAGGTACTATTTGGGTGGTGGATCATTCTCAGAACTGCAGTAACACTGACTGGTGGTGTGTCGGTGTGTGTTGTGCTGGTACGAGTAGATCAGACACAGCAGTGCTGCTGGAGTTTTTAAACACTGTGTCCACTCACTGTCCACTCTATTAGACACTCCTACCTTGTCAGTCCACCTTGTTGATGTAAAATCAGAGACAGTAGCTCATCTGCTGCTACACAGTTTGTGTTGGTCATCCACTAGTCCTTCATCAGTGGTCACAGGATGCTGCCCACAGGACGCTGTTGGCTGGATATTTTTGGTTGGTGGACTATTCTCAGTCCAGCAGTGACACTGAGGTGTTTAAACTCCAGCAGCACTACTGTGTCTGATCCACTCAGACCAGTGCAACACACACTAACACAACACCACCACATCAGTGTGACTGCAGTTCTGAGAATGATCCACCACCCAAATAGTACCTGCTCTGGTCCATGGGGCTCCTGACCACTGAAGAACAGGGTGAAAAGGGGGCTAACAAAGCATGCAGAGAAACAGATGGACTACAGTCTGTAATTGTAGAACTACAAAGTGCACCTGTATAGTAAGTGGAGCTGATAAAATGGACAATGAGCATAGAAACAAGATGTTATGCTTGATCGGTGTGTATGTATACACACACACACACACATATATGTATATATGTATATGTATATATGTGTGTGTATATATATATATATATATATATATATATATATATATATATATATATATATATATATATATATATATATATATATGTGTGTGTGTGTGTGTGTGTGTGTGTGTGTGTGTGTGTATGTATGTATGTATGTATGTATGTATTCACATGTGGGTTAAACATAATATTATTTCCATACTATTTATCTTAGTAAACAATTATAACACTTATAGTTTTTTAGCCGTTTCAGTTTTAATATCTACAATATATTCAATGATATTAATGTAATTAGATACTGCAGTTTACTTCAAGGACGGTTGCAATGCAGCATGCCAAATGGAGCAGAGAGTGTCCGCTATCTGTCTTATTCCACGCTTCATGCTGTTTGTCAGATGTTGGTCCGTCATACTAAGAAGCGTTTTAAAACTACGCTCATTCCCTTGGCAGAGTTTTTAAGGCTTGACCCTTTCGATGGTTAAGGTGATTTCACGTAACTGAATCACCGCTTATTATGGCGCATCAGTAGCTGCT